CCCGCTATATCGACCCCCGGTGGATCGATCGCCGCACTGTTGATCCACGGTAAGTGTAGACATACCCATAGTGAGCTTTGCTTAGTACATAGGCTGTGGATTTTTGTGCTAGTTGGAACTTTAGTAGGGGCTTCATTTGTAAATAAAAGTTGCAGTAACCAAGCCTGGATTGCTGTGACGAGATCTGTGGGATCTAATTGGATGGGGTACAATCTTCTGATCAGTTGCAGTAAGCAGAGGTAAGTGGGCGTTTTTACTTTCATGGCTATGTGGGTATCAATAGAAAGGAACATCCAGTCGTTGATGTGCTCGCCTGGGATTTGGACCTGGGTTCATTTTGTTCTGCTACAGACTTCTGTGACATTGGGCACATCACATATTCTCTCATTGTCTCAGTTTCCCATCTTCAAAATGGGGATAATAATACCTCCCTACCTTTCAGGGGTGTTGTGAGGATAAATACATCAAAGACTGTGAGGCATTCATACTACAGTAATGGAGGCATATAAATACCTTAGGGAGACAAACACTTGGAAATAACACGGAAGTACTTAACTTTCCAGGTTTGAGTAGAGGCAGTCTGGATTTACAAAGCAATTTACAGTAGGGTTTTGCAGTGTGTAGCTTTGTTCACATGGCAGAAAAGTAGGATCTCTTTGCCTCCTTCACAGCACTGGATAAGACATCTTATGCTTGTCTTGCTTTTTATTAATGGTTCTGAAAGAGAATTTTAAAACAGAAAATCAGCTTATTTTTCCATAAAAGCTTCCAGCTCCTTCAGGGTACGTAGGACCAACAGGTGAAAGATCTTTTAGAACCTCTCTTTGAACCAATTTATGCAATAAAACTTTCCTCCTGAAAAATTGCATTTGTAATAGTTTTGAGATGAACAAAGAGTGGAAGTCTCTTAATGTTATTAGTAAAAGGCTTTAATGGGGCTTCTCTCTCTTAGTCTTAGTAGGGTTGTATTTCTTTTTCAGCCATTCTTTGCCTTCTTCCTTTGCAAATTTATTTGTTTTTATGAAGATTTTGAGGAAAAAGTGAAACTTCAGTGTCTAACATTTTCTGAGT